TTCTATTTCAGAATGATTAAATAAATTAAATGATAAACTTAAGGATATGAAAAATTTGAATGCTTATGAATATCTTCGTCTTCTTGCTATATATAAGTATCTTAATACAATTTTTAATAATGAAGAGTCTTACTCTTGTATAAAATTGAGTCTTGAAATATTACAACAAGTCTTTCAACGTGGTCCATGGATAGCACGCCATATTCGCGAGTGGTCAAAGAGTTGGATTGCAACCGGGACTTTACCTGTCTCTCAACAAGATTACAGAAAATATACACCAGCTTTTATTGATGATGAGGACATACAAAACTCTTGCTTACGTTTTATTCTTACTATGGGTGAAAAGATAACTGCTAAAAAGTTTCAAGATTATGTTCATAAAAATGTTTTACCACATGTTACTAGCTCTCACACTTCAATTTTATTAGAAACAGCTCGAAAATGGCTTCGCTGTCTTGGTCTTGTATATCAGCAGCATCGACAAGGAATCTACTATGATGGGCATGAATGTTCTGATGTTGTACAACATCATACAATATTTCTTGATAAAATGAAAATTTTTGAGTCCTTAATGCCGCAATTTGTTGGCGAAAATATGGAAATCATAATTAATCCTGAAATAAGCGAAGAAAATAAAAGTCACATTTTTGTTACTCATGAAGAGTGTATTTTTTATGCTAATGATAGTCATCCTTCAGTATGGGCTCCTCTTGGTATGCCTCCACTACACAAAAAAGGAAAGAGTAAGGCAATTATGGTCTCGGAATTTTTAACTGAAACACATGGTCGTCTTATGATTACTTCTGAAGAAATGAATGAATTGAGCCTACTGTCAATGTTTTCACAAGAAGCCCGTATAATTATCAAGCCTGAAAAAAATGATGATGGCTGGTGAAATGCTTCTGATTTGCTTATGCAAGTGGCTAACAAAGCAATTTCTATTTTCAAAGCAACTCATCCAAACTGTATTGGTGTCTTTGCATTTGATAATAGTACTAATCATGGTGCTTTCGCAAGTGATGCATTATGTGCTAAAAATATGAACCTTTCTCCTAGTGGTAAACAGTCAAGATTATGTGATGGTTGGTTTATTAATGAACAAGGTAAACGAGTTACTCAGTCAATGATTTTTCTAAAGATCTTCCTCCTGATGATCCTAATTATATCTTCCATGATGAACCAAAAGGTATTCGACAAGTACTTCGTGAGCATAATTTATAGCCTACTAATGGTCTAAGATTAAAGTGTGGAAATAACTATTATGAACCAAGTGCACCTGATTGTTGTGCACATCATTTGTTGTCTGCACAGCCTAATTTTATTATACAAAAATTAGCATTGGAAGAACTTATTGTTGAACAAGGACATGTTTGTATATTTTATCCTAAGTTTTATTGTGAGCTAAACTTCATTGAATGATACTGGGGCATTGTAAAATGCTATTCATGTGAATATTGCGATTATTCATGGGCAGGATTACAAGTTACAGTACCTGAAGCACTTGATTCAGTATCACTTACAACTATACGTCGTTTTGCACAAAAGGTATGGTGTTACATAGATGCTTATAGACGTGGACTTACTGGTCGGATAGCAGAATATGCTATATGCAAGTATCGTTCTCATAGACACATACCTAATGAAATTGATTTAGAGTTAGATTAATAAATACTAAATATATAGTGTGAATTAAAAAATAAGAAATACTTATTATTTGTTTTGTATGTATCAAAATGAATAATGCTAAAAAACTATAAATTGATT